ATACTTTAAATACGCGCATAAATATGTTAAATTATTCAATCTAAGCATATTCATAAATTCACAATATATTTATAAATGCACTTTATTTTTAACGAATTTTTACTTACTGAAATCAAGGTAAGGTAGTAAAACCACAAATTTATTACATATGATAGGATAGGTATAATAAATTGAATAATACTCGTAATAATATGTGCTTGAGAGCGTAGTTTTATTTCTTAATAATAAAATACGAGGGTCATTCGTAAAAAAGGTTGCCTACGCCGTTGATAAAGAATGCGACGTGCCCTTAAGAAATCTAGCACCGCTGCCTTACGCATCAACTCTCCCTCTTTCTAATAGTTGCGTCTCCGGGCAGCCCACAATACATACCCATATGGGGGTATGTATTGTGGGGGCAGCCAATGCGGATCCAACACTACAATTTTTATTTTTATAGCCGATGGCCACCGGAGTGGTAATACACGATCGATGTTTTGAATATTTTGATGTCTCGAATAAATACTAACATTGATATTGAGCAGCTTAGAATTGAACTATTTTGGACAAACTTAAAATTTAACAATATTTAGAATTTTTGACAAGTAAAACAAGATTCAGTAGGGTAAACATACTAGTTATTGGACATCCCAATTATTTTAACTGAAAAAAAGAATTCTGTATTCAGTAGTGAGCGCAGTTTTGTTGAGATGTCGGCATTGTACTATTAGTATCAATATTGACATAAATGACATTTGATTGATGTTTCTGTTTTGCCGCCAAATGGAAGATTCTTTGGTTAGGTACCAAAAAGACGGTTTTCTTAACCCTATTTTAAGACATCTTAGGTGAATTTTAGTGTTACAATACAGTGCCCCGCATAAATATACAAGTTAGTGGACAGTAAAAGTAAATATTTTTAAGGTTTGAATCACTATACTTAAGACTAGGTTATGTGTTAGATGGGTGTCCAATAACTACAACTAACATGAGTATTTTTATCTACATAATTATGTCCAATAACTGCATTTTGCAAAGTTTATACAGTTTTTGTGTGAATATTTGTCCGTCTTCTGTTTCTGGCACTTCCATTTTGGTGTTAAGATTCACGCTGTAGCCACTGTCCAATAACTGCTTCACAATCTGTCCTATATCTGAAACATTTATTTGCACAATTTCTGTAGCTAATATTGTTTCAGTAACTAATGTCAAATCTGAACAAACAGCATCATCATCTTCCCACATCATCATCACCCACATTTGATGATCAAACAGCATGGGAAACGTATTCTCAATTTGAAGTTGCAGCTTTCTTGGTAGTGTCTCTATATCTTTCCAATGGTTTATTATATTGGAAGTGGAACAGTTCTGATGGAGTACACACAGTTCAACAGTTGGTACTGCTAAAATCACACTTTATGAGTGTGTTGTAAGAACTTCATAGACGCCTTTCTGGGGGACATTTTGCATCGTCAGAGATTTGATAGATACAAATGCACACTCACACATAAAGAACGACCAGCAAATGTCCTTGATTATTTATCACTTGAAGTGGATAGCTGCAAAGGTGCCATATACTTTGATGGCCATAAACGAAGACGATACAAGCGATGAGTTATGCTGATATAACTTTATTTAGTATTTATACCAATTCATACACGGAATGTTTAACGAGTGTTCTTGCGCTATATATATTTGGCTTTCAATTCATCGAAGCGATAGCAAATCTTTTGCTGAAATCGTAAACTTTTGAATCTTATTATTTACATCCACTTAATTTCATGTACCTCAGTACTAATCTGTTCTTCGCCAGTTCAAAAAGTTGTTTATCTCACATGTCTTAAATATATACACATACCAAGTACACAATGGATTTGACATATGTCATTATGAACTTTTTCTCCGATGTAAATACGACCTATTTATTTATAACTCAACCAAATAAAAAATGACAATTGAAAATATTTAGGATACAATTTTTAGATCCGCAAAAATTTGACTTTTTATTTAAACATTACGTGAATACGTCAATTAAATAACGATTTCTAAAATAAACTGGTTATCCAATAATAGGAACCCTATTAGCAATGGCCTTGTACTTAACATTTAAGTATGATTTACAACAACAAAAATACAAGGACGAAATTACTCGCAATCTTCTGTTAATATTACTAATTAAAGTAGTATCAATCTGTAAAAAATCCTAATAATGCCGCTCCACTATAATTCATTTTAAATTGGATAGCAGTAAATACTTCAATCTGGTAATCATCTATCGTGTTGTTTGAATAATACAAGTATGTATATGTATAAGATGCTACTGATAAATGGGCTACAAAACCTAATGTTTTCAATAATTTCGAAAGCCATACTGTTTCTAAATCACTAACATACTATTTATTATATTATAAATTCTATAAAAAATATTTTAAGACATACTCTGTCTATAATGCCCGGATTACACGAGGCTGGTTTTTCAAGCTAGGATAGCAAGCTAGATATCCCGGTATCCTAGCCTGAATTACTGTCCTGGCTTGGCGCATACTAGAAAAGTTTACATAAGTTACTACTGTGTCAAACTACATTAGATGAATTACCAGAAGCTTAATTGGAAAAACGCGTTTGGACAAGACCACGGATTTTAATAAGGAATGAACGTGGATCATCCGCACTGGTTTTAAAAGAACTTCGCAATGAAGATTCAGAAGAGTATATCAGTAATTTACCATGATGTCTGATGTGTTTAATATTCTGCTGAGTCTTGTGATGCCAAAAATTCAATGACAGCATACTATTATGAGGGAGGATGAAAGAAAATCTTAAGTGATCTCCAACTTTACTCTTGCTGGTAAAGCCTCTTTCATAATAGTATGCTGACGTTGAAATTTTGGCATCACAAGACTTAACAGCTACTGGCTGAAAATTTCCTAGCCACAGAAATTGCTATCCTAGCTTGAAAAACTAGCCTCGTGTAATCCGGCCATAACAGACAAAGGTGATACATAAACCAGGATAGTAAAACCAGTAGAGGGGATGCAAGTAGCTTACCAATATAGAACTAATATCCTAGCTTAAGGCACTGGCTTACTGTTTTACTCATTAGCTTACTAGCCTACAAGCGAAGCTTGTACTATAACTGTACTATAACTGCAAGCTACTAGCTCTGTATACATCAAGCTAGTAATACTAGCTTGTTAGTTTAAAACAGCTAGTTTGCTATCCTAGCTTGAAAAACTAGCCTCGTGTAATCCGGGCATACTGGCAAATGACAAATTTGGCATGTTATCTATTCCCATTGTAACTTAAACATCATACTAATGTAAATTAAATTTAATTTAACAACATTTAAAGGGTTTTTAAGTATTTAGTGGCTCAAAACATGTCCATACATCCAGATAACACTAATGATGGAATATTAATTCCGAAAACGTTCTGTGATGTAGCGAGATAGGGTGTTTTAATATACATATGCTTTTTATAAAGGAATTTTTAAATAATTTTTTTGTGATACATGGTATATAGCCAGCTACAGGAATTTAGTTTCCTTGTGGATATATTATAATATACTTGTGTATTAAGATACCAAATCATGTTTTAAGATAGCTTCTACATTGGAATCGAAAAGAACCAAACATATTGATGTAAGACATCATTTTATTAAAGATTGTTTGGAAAAGAAACTCATTGCTTTAAAGTATGTACCTTTTGATTAGCAACAAGTTGACATTTTTACAAAGTCAGTGTCAAAAGCCAAATTCACCTGTTTTAATAAACCTTTGGATGTTGTTCAGTTTTACCAGTTTTGTAGTTAAGCTATATAATATAGAATTACAGAAGGGTGCTAGTGTTATAATTATATATTAAGTCTTTTTCGTGTTAAGGGTTGGCACTACCTTATGTGTTTCAACGAGTCAACAATAATAAAAACGTTTATATTTGTCAACGTATCATTTGTAATATTCCATCTAAGTAGATTCTTTCACATGTGGGTCGCAAAATAACTCATGAATTGCAATACGTAATTATATTTTTATATTCTTTAATCGAGATCAGCACAATGCATCTTCAGATATAAAACAGCAGCAACAGTAATTCTGTACTTCAAACAAACGTGTATTCAATCCTAAATACAGTAAAAGTTGAAATCGCTGAAGGTCATTTTAGTTTTTTATCTAAATAATGTGTGTCATCCACGCCATAGAATTTATGATGAGTTTGCATTTCACGAATGCAAATGTATTGACTTATTTTTTTACACAACCAGGTAAATGCTGAGAAGATCATATTATATGATTCTCTCAGTGGCGGCCGGTCAGGGACGGAAGGGTCGGCATTGCCGACCCACAGATTTATAGATATAGAATTTTTTTAATATTTAATTTAATCAGTATTTCGATAATTAATTGTGGCAGGTAATCAGTTGATGTCATTTGTTTCTGTGAAATAAAAAAAAATATCTGTGAGGTAATAAAGACCATATTTATCGTTTTTAAAAGAATTCGACCAGACTAAATTTTATTCATGGTTTTTTAAAGAATTCGTCCAATCTGAGCGTTAAGTGATCCCTGCGTAAGACACTTTTCAAATTAATGATCCGAAATTGAAGACATCATCCGCCTGTGTGAATTCTTAAAAAGACACGTTTCGGGGCAAACCGATCCCAAAGCTTGACGATTTACATGTAAAAATCAACGGAATATTAGTTGATGAGCAACCAAACATATATTTCTTTCCATATGAATTTGTGTACCAAGTACGGCAAATTTAAATTTGCCGATGCTTCATTTGGATTGGTGATTGGTCGCGAACTGTACCTTGCGAGCGCGGGATGAAATGTTATTTCGGGATGGATAAGTACTTAAGAACTTAAGTAGTGAAGTGATATTGAGTGCACGAACTAGCATTTCTCTCTCGGATTTATTTTTATTTTCTAAAGTAATACTGTGATAAAGAGTTTTTGATATATTAGAAGTTTTTATTTAATTTAAAGTGTAAACAAATTCAGGTAAATTAGCCTAAAAATGCAAGATATGGAAGTGTAAGTATGTATTGATAAATCTGCTATTGTAAATTATATTTTACAGTATGGGTTTTCATCTATTCTATACAAAGAACAAATTGTTATTAAAAATAAGGGGCGTCCTTTGACTAAAATGTCCCGGATGCGAGGGGTAAGGGAAGTAATAGATCATTTTCAGATAATTGGTATTGGTATAGCAAGTACTCATGGCTTACCTGGAGTGAAACAAAAAACAAACTTTTCTGTTGGCTTTGCCTTTTATTTTCGACAAATAGGGGCAAACATCAAAATCCGTGGTGTGAATATGGTTACGATAATTTAAATGAATTATTTAGTACTTTATGGAAACATAATATTTTGAAAGATAGCCAGCCATACAGCCAGATTAAATTAGATTTATTTGGAAAACAAAATATCTATGTTTCATTAGATAATGCCCAACGTGAAAATGCTATTAAACATAATGAAATTGTAAAAAATAATCACGCAGTTTTAAGTCGTTTAATTGATATTGTAATGTTTTAAATGTCAGGAATTATCATTTAGGGAACATGATGAATTGGAGCATTCGTTAAATAAAGGTAATTATAAAGAACTAATAAAAATGTTTAAGAAATACGATTTGGAATTTTCTAATTTACTTTCTGATTCGAAGACATTTAGCGGTGTATGTAAAACAATCCAGAATGAATTAATAGAATCAATTAGTTACATTTTGAGTAACGTTATTGAATCTAAGATGCAGAAAACCATTTGCTTTTCTCTAAAAGTAGATGAAACTACCGACATATCATGTCGTTAGATACCAGTTACGTGGTAATATTTATGAGAGGTTTTTAAGTTTTACAGACGTGAGTAAAATCCATAAGTCAGAATATATTTTTGGTGTTTTAAAGGACAGATTAAAATTTTTGGTTTCAAAAATAAATTGGTAGGCTAAACTTTACAAAGCTTTATTTACTCACTGTCATGTGCATATAATGAATTTAGTTTTGCAGGATACAAGTAAAAAAATTAAAGAATGTCGTCTTTTTTTGAAATTTTAAGCGGATTTGCTTCATTTTTCTCAAGCTTGCCTAAACGGACTAATATTTTAGAACTGTTTGTTTCGAAAAAAAATGCCAACAGTTTGTCAGACGCGATGGAATTTTAAATCTCGGTTAGTTTTCACTGTAGCAGATTTTCGTGAACAGCTTTTGGAAGTTTTTGATTTTATTATTGAATGCGACGATTTTAAAAGTGATGATATCTCGATCCGTGAAGCAATTACTTTGAAAACTTTATTAAATGATTACTCTTTTAACATAGTTTTACTATTTTTAAGGATGTGTTTACCCAAACCGATTTGATATTCAATGTTGTTCAAAAATAGGTTAACTGACATTATTCATTCCAAAAATAGAATAACAAAACCGGTGCAAAATTTTAGAGATTTTCATAATGATAGTAATTTCATAATGATAGTAATTCGCCGTGGGGTCCGCCAAGGGTGTATTTTATCACCCTTGTTATTCAATTTATACAGTGAAGCCATCTCAGAATTAGCGCTTGCCGAGATCAGTGAGGGCATTATAATAAACGGTGAGCCACTTAATAACATAAGATATGCTGACGACACCGTCCTTTTGGCAGGAACACTAGAAGAACTGCAACACCTTGCTGAACAACTAAATATATATTGCAACGATTATGGACTAAAAATCAATTTGAAGAAAACCAAATTCATGGTATTTACAAAAGCACAAAACATCAAAGTTAAGCTAGTACTAGATAATACAGAAATTGAACAAATATCTTCGTACAAATACCTTGGAGCATGGATCAGAGAAGATACTGATCAGACAAAAGAAATAAGATGCCGCATTGAAATTGCGCGGTCAACTTTTAATAAAATGAGAAAACTTTTTTGTAATCGCGATATCAATATCTCGCTCCGGATAAGAATGCTTCGATGTTATATTTTCTCTACCCTTTTGTATCCAGGACACTTAAAAAATCCAACATTAAAAACCTAGAAGCATTCGAAATGTGGTGTTACCGACGCATTTTGAAAATATCATGGATGGATCGCAAAAAAACGAACAAGTTCTCGAACAACTAGGAAAACAATGCGAAGTTTTAAATTCCATAAAGATCAGGAAATTGGAATACTTGGGGCACATCATGAGAGGTGAAAAGTACGAACTACTAAGGAATATAATGCAGGGTAAAATCAAAGGTAGAAGAAGCGTAGGAAGACGTAAAATCTCGTGGCTACGCAATCTCCGTGAGTGGTTTGGATGCAGTTCAATTGAACTATTCAGGCGAGTAACCAATAAAATTATAATTGCCAGAATGATTTCCAATCTCCGATAGGAGTGGAACTTCAAGAAGAAGTAATTTCCAGTATATACGCAGAGACGTTTTGAACTCGCTTGATATTTCCGAACCCCCCTAAAAAAGACAAAGGCGTGCATAGAAACAGATCTCGAGAAACGAGTATATTTTGAAATTTTGGATACTATTATTATGCAAATAGATACTCGTTTTTCGAATTTTGAAGATTTGTAAATTTTTGACCTCTTTGACGATTCAAAATCTAAAAGTTACGCCAAAGAATTTCCAAGATATTTGTTAGACAGCTTAATTAAAAATTATCCATCATTCTTTAATAAAATAAAATTCGAAAATGAATTAAAAGTTTTATATGCTGATCAAAATATTTTTGGAAAGTGGCATAAGTTGCAAGATAAGTATAATTTTATATACTGCAATTCATTACAACAAACTGTTACCGAAATTAATAAATTATTGTCATTAATTCTCTCATTACCACCAACATCTGCCTCACATGAACGAGATTTCTCATGTCTCAAAAGAATCAAAACGTATTGTCGAAACACCATGAAACAAGAAATAGAGTTAATTTATATAAACATGTTTAGATTCTAAATTTGTAGGAAAAAAAAACAAAAATCTATGATGAATGAAGTCTTTATTAGACGGTATACCTATCTGAGGAGACAAAAAATACATTGCCGACCTTGTCTCTAAGGCCACGGGCCGCCACTGTTAGAATTCAAATCAAAATGAATTTGTTTAATTTACTCGTTCATACTATATTCATTCTATATTGACAGTTAGTACTTAGATGAAAGACTGAATATGAAAATAAAAAACGAAACGCAAAGTAAAGCGTTAAGTTAAATTCATTTAGTAATCTGTTTCTGTCTTGTCTGTGTAATTCGTATCATTATTCGAAATTATTCTTAGATTTCGTATATCTTTATAACGATGTAAAGTTTTATTCTCGGTTGTACAATGGCAAGATATCACATTACATATTATTCTTTTCCTTATTTCGTATGCACATAACCTAAAAAAATTAAAATCTAATGTCCGTTTTCTTTACTTCTTCGATTTACATGTCAATAACTTTATATCAACGCATATATACATACATAGGTGACCTTCTAACCATTACCCTTGATAAACTAAATTAGATTAGTTAAAATAAAAATATTTACACAAAGCAATTCAAGTTCACGATGTTTCAAATTATTTTTAACATAATTTTTCGTCTGAGGTGACAGCGTTTTTATTTATCATCATATATTAGGTCAACTTAGTCAAAGGTTAATAAAGCTGGAATGAATGTCTAAAGTACCACTTTTTTATTATGCACAATATCTAGTTTATTCGTTGTAATAGTCTACACTTGAAATTCTAAAAGACCCCACACGCCTGCATAAAGTTACACTTCGCGATTTTCCACTAAACAGACAAAACAAAATCACAACACAAACTTGTGTCGAATAAAACAAGACTGTAACGTTTCACAAACTTTTTGAAGACTGCCATGTTTTATGTCAGAAGAGTTTTGTTTTTCGGGTCTCTATTGTCATCTTACTAGTCTGAAAAATGCAGACAACACTGCAAATTAGCAGATGAACAACGGGGTTTTAGTAGTGGAAGATTGACACCTCGGGGGAACAATTAGGGGTCTAATTTCCTTCTATTGCCTCCGGGTGCTCTGTAGAGGGCTTCGGAGACGTCAACAAAAGCACCTCTACCCAAGTCCACTTTCAGGATATGAACTTGTAAAGTTTTCTCATCTGATGACTCGTCTTGAGAAAGACGAGTTATTTCTTACACGACGAAGATTCTCCGTTGAAATAAACCATCAGGTTGTCTTCTTTGGTGACTTGCCTTGAAAAAGGCAAGTTATTTCTTACATGAACAATATTATAAGTTAAAATAAAGTTGAAATAAAACACCAAATTGTAGTAGAATGAAATACTCAGCCACAGAGTATGGAAAGCTAAAAAGGAAGCAGAGCCCCGAGAGCACTAAGCTCTCGAAGAGCCCGTGAAGAACTGACTTGGTTGACCTGAAAATCGCCTATTTTTATACACGCTGAAGTACCGATAAATAGGGATTTCCAGGTCAGGGACCAATAGGAAAATTGAGGGGCGGGGCGATGCGTCTCGAGCGCGAACTAGTCGCGTTCGAGAACAAGATCGTGTACAGATGCAATATTTGTTATAAATCAAATTACTGAGAAATCAATAGATCATCAGCATCACAAATCATCTAGAATTTCGCTTTATTTGTATGTTCTAAAGATGTGTTCCATTTTAAACTATCCAAGATATATGACTTCTAATATTTGTATCTCGTATCGCAGATATATACTAGAGTATAATAGACCAGCATTTCTATATATGACTGACCTAAAGAAAGCGTTTGGCAGAGTAAGAATTAAAAAGATGTATTCCATGTTCTATATAATAGAGAAGTTCACCTAAATATTATAAAAACTATCGAAAACATCTACCAAAACAACAAAATGGAAGTCCGAATAGATGGACAACTTACAGAACCTATAGAAATAGGCAGAGGAAGACAATGGGATTCATTGAGCTCCATGCTCTTCAATTTGATCATGAATGAAATCATCAAAAGCGTTAATAAAAGAAGACGATACAGAATGGGAAACAAAGAAATAAAATTACTCTGTTATGCAGACGACGCAATATTGATAGCCCAAGATGAAGATAGTCCAGCTGCCAACCTGTCCAACCAACCAGATGTAAAATAGCAATTGATGGCATCAATATTGAACAAGTAATGGAAATAAAATACCTGTGAATTACACTGTCTACCTATAGAGACCTGGACAAAGAAGCGAGAAATCAAGTACAAAAAGTAAATAGACTGGCAGGATGCTTTAATAACATTATATGGCGAAACAGACATATTAACACTGAGATAAAATCAAGAATTTAGAAAGCCAGTGTAAGACCAATAATGACGTATACTTCAGAAACAAGACCCGACACAGCCACAACGCAAAGGCTACTGGAAACGGCAGAGATGAAAGTACTGAGAATAATTACAGGAAATTCTGAGTTGAGAGATCGAAAGAGAAGTGAAGGCATTAGAAGAAAATGTAACGTACAGTGTATAAATGATTGGACACAAAATTGAAAAAAAAAGAATGGAATAACCACATAAGTAGAATGAAGGTGACCCGTGTGGTCCAAATAGTAAGAGTTAAGTTACCAATCGGCAAAAGAAGTATCGGACGACCGCGCAAAAGATGCAGTGACAACCTTCCACAGAGGTATTAATCCGCCAATGAACAAGCAGAATTGCTTATAAAGAGAAAGAAGAAAAAGAAGAAGAAGATACTGTAATCGTGCCAACACATAGGAACCTGGATATGGCAGTAACACATCTACAGACGGCACTGGATACAATAGAAAATAGCAATAAATTTAGAAAAAGCATAAGCGGTTACCTTCAAAAAGAGAAGAAATA